GTCTAGTAGCTACTTCAAACTATCGCCAGTCATGAAAAGATCCGGTCAAATGACACGAGTTTAGATCTATGAACAAGGCACGAAAAGGAAAAGAATCGGCGACAGGCCACATCAGGCCTACACTTCAGCGCCGACATCACTATGTTATGTTATGTTATGTTAGTATTTTGTGTTGACCTGTGTGACAAGATCTTGATCTTAATTATTCTTCCGAAGGACCTAATTTATGATGTAGACCTGCATGGGGCGTATGCAGAATGACTAATGCCTTCCAACTTCGTTCTAAATTGGCTGAATATTCCTCTGAATGGAAGCGAATTAAAAATGAAAACTAAAGAGTTAACCAGGAAGAAAATCTTCTTTCAAATAAGAGGTGTTTTTGTTCAGATAAAATATGGAGAACGGTGGTTAAAATGATTGGTTCGACGGTGTCGGAGCATATTTTCTTGTTGCGTAACAATCATACGGTGATACAGTACCGCGGCCCGTAACAATCTTCCACTAAAAAATTCAATAAAAAGTTTCATCGGTGGGATTCTGCAAGTAATTTTTCGATGTTCCTGAAGATTGGAATAGGCGGTAATGCTGGTTGGAATAGTTGACTGTTTCAACAATACTTGAATTGCGTTTCTCGTTCTCAACGGTACTCACGTGGGGCTCGCTTCAGTTTCTAAATGCACGACACAGATTCTCCGGAATTTATGAGTAACGACCGTTTACCACCCAAGACGAGCGCTTAATCGTGATATATACTCGTACTTATACGATTTCTTGATACGATTACGTACTTATACGAATCACCGACATGTGGAACAGCCTCCCCGATGACATCGTTGGCGCTCCAAGTATGAACGCGTTCAAGAACAGACTAGATATAAATCTATGGAAAAATATATGTTCAGATTTGAAATGCCTAGCACCATATCGAACCCGGTGGGAGTCGAGTAGCTTCTTCAAACTATCGTCAGTCATGAAAAGATCCGGTCAAATGACACGATTTTAGATCTTTCAGATCTATGTTCTGTTATGCTATGATATACTCGTACTTAAACGATTACTTGATACGATTACGTACTTATACTCGCACTTGAATCATCACTGGAGTCTGGCATTACAGGCCGGCAGCTCCCAGGCATCAGCGCGTGACCGGGCAGACTTAGCAGCTCCCTCAGTGGGGGGCGGTGACCTGCTGCTCGGAGAGAGGGGGGCGGTGACCTGCTGCTCGGAGAGAGGGGGGCCGTAGCTCCCTCGGAGAGGGGAGGGGGGCTGCCTTCCCCCAAGCCAGTCCGGTGAAGTGACTCATGCTAGGTCTTGAGTTCACTTCGCGGTTGGACCAGCTTACGGCAACATTATGTTCTGTTTTGATTGAATAAATTGAAACTGAAGACAAATTTTCAATAACACGATATTATATACATTTTCATTTGATCTGATTGAGAACATAAACCTCACGGCATGGTCCTGTGGATCGGTCAAGTGGCGAGCGATTTGAACCATCTCAGGTTAGGTAAAAGTTCTCTCAATGCGTTGTAGCTAATTTACACTATTTATCTTGTTCATTTTGTCGGAGAACATTATTTTATATCATTACATTACTCTAAATATTACAACAAAAATGTTTGTGAAGGTAATAAAGGTATCAATGGCTTCAGTGAACTTAGGGACTGTCTTGCCTTGGCTGCCTTGTCTTAGCAGCCAAGGTGTCACTTGGAATTTCTGCTGTCATGATTTATGATGACGCTATTGATGCAGGCACGATTAATCCTGGTGTTATTTCTGTAGGTTACAGGCGCGTTGCTCGTATTGTTGCTACAGGTTGGAGGCACTATTGTTTCTTGTGCGGTTGTTGCTGGTGCTGCTGTTGCTGGTGCTGGTGTTGATGGTGCAATTGTTGCTGGTGCAGCTGTTGCGGTTGTTGCTGCCTGCTGGTGCGGTTGCCCGCTTGATGTCATGACGGCGAGATCGTGCTCCTGGGCACAGCCACTTCTCCATACCCTCATCAAGACCCTGACACGATCTCGTGCATCGAGCCGTGATCGTGGTCATTATTGCTCCTCAACGACCTGCAGGAGCTCGAGATGTGACTTCCACTGCAAATAATCTCGTGACTCTGGGACTTCTCGCCTTTAGGTGTATTTATTTGTCATTGTTAATAGTGGGCTTGCGACGAAATCGTATAGTTTGAAATACCTGACATCTCGATTTTGTTGTTGCTGTAAATAATCACGTGACTTTGGAACTTCTCGCCTGTAGGTGTATTTATTTGCCATTGTTAATTATGGGCTTGCAACGAATTCGTATAGTTTAAAATACCTGACATCTCGATGTTCACCTTTTGTTTTGTTCCCGTTTTCGATGTATTTTACGTTAGTTGAGTCACGTTACATCCTATTTTTTTTTTGAAAACTGTTTCGCCGAGCCTCTGTTTTTTGCTGAGTGTCGATAGAACGTTGATTGAGATCTCTTTCTTCGATTGCTGCTCGCGACCTTTGCCCGAACAACGACCCGAGACTCGAGAATTTTCCCTTGCCAGCAAAATAACACCGCAATACTTTTATTTCCCTAGCCTAAATCAATCGGCGGAGGTCGGGCGCTCATGTTCTATGCGTGGGGGAGCAATATTTTTTCGGATATTATGTCTTTCCACGATTTTCTTTTACAATGCATTTGGCACTGATTAATATGTGTTGTATCAGTTACGAATCGCTTTTCTAATAAAAGGCTTATAATAATATTGTTCTCGTTAGGATGTATTTTCGATTCTTGATGTGCAAGCTTCGCAGGATATCTGATTGAGGTTTATGACCGCCTTTTATCACTTATCATCAGCCATCCACGTTTCAAGAGAACGATGAGGATTTGAAGTTCTTTCAAGGAGTATATCTTGAGTGAGCTAGTGCTTCGAAAAGTATAACTCTTATCATTGACGCGCGATATTCTCGCGAAACCTTTTCCCATTGTCAGCAGTAATTTATTTCTTGACCGGTAGCTATTTTGTTGAATTTATGCGTTTTAATATATACGTAGAGCAGTGGATCTGAAATTCTGTCCTGGATAAATTTTTACTCGTAAGTGCCTCATTGTGATTTTTTTCGCCTTTAACCCTAACTAATCTTGATGTTCCCAAGAATTTCCGAGTGCGATTGGCCTGTTCGGTACGCATGGCTCGAGCAACATGTATACGCCTCAGTCCCGCCCGTTCAGCACTGCGCTTGTGGTACCCGAACTGCTTTGATCCCGCCGACCGCTGGTTCTGATTACGTTCAACTGCCAGTTGATTGACCGGGACCCATACTTTCAAAAAAAGTTAAGAGATTGTAAGTTCATCAGCCAATCATTGACGGCCTTTCAAGCAAAATCCACCAATCATAGACAAGAAAATAGAGCGTAAGTACTTACGTTCACTTAGCGAATTTTGAAAGTATGGGCCCGGGACATCACAATAGATGCTCCTGTGTTGTTGAGGTGGCTACTGAATTTGATGAGACTTTTCGTTCGCACAAGAATTTTTCCTTCTGAGATGATCATGAATAATCTAAATGGTGCTGTGTAAAGTAATATTTTCTGTTTCACACTGACATTAGTCATGTTCTCACACTCGCACTCTAATTGGTCATTAGGCTCCTATGTCTTCGTATGTTTGTATTAACTTTTAAGTGAAAAACGTTGGACTAGAATTAAATGAAAAATAGGAGTAGTTCTTCAGTTATCCTATATCTTCGTATATTTGTAATAAGTTTTAAGTGATAAACGTTAAACTAAAAATTAAATGAAAAGTATGAGGAGTTCTTCAGTTATTGTGCAAGTCATTGTTGCGTGGCTTTAGCTGATCAGAGGTTGGTGTATGGGAAGCACTGCAGTGCGTGTCTATGACTCATAGCTTATGCCCCCCTCTGCTATGGTGGACAGCGGCGCTGGGGCGGCGGTGTTGGCGTCCGTGGCTTCCCTCTGATGTACGTAGCCGCATTTTGTGTTATTGTAGGCCTAAGCCACGAGGCATTTAATGTTGAAACAACGTTGATTACCGAGTGCTGCCGTTAGAATAATGTTGATTATGATGAGTTCTTGTTAAAACAACGCAGATTAAGAGGTGTTCTTGCTGAAACAACGTTGATTACCGAGTGCTGCCGTTAGAATAATGTTGATTACGAGGTGTTTTCGTTAAAACAACGTTGATGAAGAGGTGTTACCGTTAGAATAATGTTGATTATGAGTTTTTTTTGTTGAAACAACGTTGATGAAGAGGTTTTTTTATTAAAAAAACTTAATTACGGGATGATTTCGTTGAAGCAACGTTCAATAAACGTTATTTCGACGTAAAATCCCTGGTGAGAAGACACGCTCGGCGACCTGGCAATTACTCCGCGTAATAGTCATTTGCACTTCTGATGCGTTCACGGTTCGTGTATGAGAATTTTACTGCAGTGTATTTACTCAAAGTTTGTGTTTTAAACATGTATTATATAATTAATTTTTGTGTTTTTAATATTGATAATATTGAAATGGATATCTTTATTCGTGCTTTTTATCGTGCATTGAATGTGTTGCTATTTTTAGTGTCAAATAAGTGTTAGTAAATAAGGTTTACGCAAATAAATTGAGTTTTCTAATGTTTATATTTATTAATTCCAGTAGTAAGGATTCAAATTTTTTTTTCGCTGCAGTTATAGCATTCAGTGCCCATGCTTTCAAAAAAGTTAAGAGATCGTAAGTTCATCAGCCAATAATTGACGGCCTTTCAAACAAAATCCACCAATCATAGACAAGAAAATAGAGCGTAAGTATATATACTTACGTTCACTTAGCGAATTTTGAAAATACTGTATAAGCCCTGATGCATGTACTGTGCGAGCTGTTATTAACACCGCACCTGCTACGTGCATGGACACACCTGTGCCTTTTACAGCTGTGTCGTTTGCAAGGTATCAACCAAGGTAGGTTGCTACCTTGGTTGATATGCTGTTGATACCAGGGCCCTTACTTTCAAAACTCGCTAAGTGAACGTAAGTATTTACGCTCTATTTTCTTGTCTGTGATTGGTGGATTTTGCTCGAAAGGCCGTCAATGATTTGCTGATGAACTTACGATCTCTTAACTTTTTTTGAAAGGATGGGCCCAGGTTCAAATCGTCTTCCGTGTAATACGCATCCTGGGACTGCAATCTCTTGATGCACGACGGTAACATTGCGTGTTCTACTATCTGGTCATGTTACAAATACCAGATCCTCGGAAAAATGTAGGGTTTACTTATGCTTTTCTTATTTATTTAATTTTTGTTTAGCACTGATAAATGCAGACGTTGGAGTCGGAGTTTAAATGAAGCCTTGCATTTGTTATCAATAGGTTTACCGGATGCTGCGAAGAAAAGTGTCATAGGGTGTCACTTGAATTAATTATTGTATCGCCCAGTTGGTTCTTATAAGACTGAGAAATTTTCCGCTTCGGGAAATATCCGCTGCACTTGATACTTCTTGCAAATGTTTCTCACGGCACAGGTGCTTACTGCTTCTCTCCATGTTTCCTTGAATGCATATTACTCAGAAGAACCCGTTCTTAACGAAGACATTCTTACCATTCATTAGGGAATAGTGCATGTGATCATATTGACTGACTTATTTGGCTTCGTTGCCGCCAGGCCTCCTTGGTTTCTTCCCGAAGTTCCCGACCTCTGCTGAATTTCAGCCTAACTTTGGCACTGAATTTCTGTGACCATGCAGCCTAATTTTCTTATACTGGTTGGTGTGCGTAGGTCAAATTCCATTTTGCAGCTATTGATGCCATGAGCTACCTATATCAGTTCAGCTATATAGGCTCCAAAGATGATATCATGCGCTGTTAATTTTATTAAACTTACATTTAATGTTTAATGATCTCACTCGTCATGAGTGTTCTTCTGGGTTTGTTTTAGTGCCCGCATGAAGAGTCTTAAAGGCTTCTCCCTACAATTTTTTACACTAGCCTAGCGTGTTAGCACGGAAACTTACAACGTGACATTATTCTGTCGTAAGTTTTTATTTCCTACAGTGCATTGATGCGACCTCAGGACGCAAGATGTAACAGCAGTCTACAGGTTAATATTTTTTCCTGTTAAAAAATTTTAATGGTTCAAAGTATCTCGGGTTAACAGATTTTCCAAGTTTATAGTATTTACCGATAAAAATATTTCTATGTTAACATTATTCCCCGCTAAAGCATTTTGGAGTTAGTATTATTTATTTGGTCACATGGCCAGCAACACGGGACACAGGAGCGCTCGACTCCCTGGCATGCGGCGACGATCTGACGGGGACAGCCTTATACAAATTACTACACGGCACGTCACAGGATAGCCTTGTTTAAACAAAAATAAGTACAAGAAAAGGTCCAGCTATAATATAAATAATATATAATATACGAAGCAATTATTTCCTTCGGATTGAAAGAAATGTGGGATATTTAGCTTGTTTTTTCAAATTACTCTATACATTTTACCATAATTTTTACCGTTGCATTTCACATGTGGTTTTGTCAACAAAATTAGTCTACTCCAATTATTTTGATGGTAATTAACCGTATAAGTTAACCACGACTTTTTATTAATAGATCAGGGCAACTTACGAGTTTATCAAGAATTTAAAGCAAAGAAAATAGCCAGAAAATTCACCATTTCTTATGAAGTCAAACTTTACGGAGTCCAGCTCCATCGTTAGTTTGACTGACGATGGAGTCGAAATGTTTTCTTTCATAATTTTCTGGCACTTTTCTTTATTTTTAAATTCTTGATCAGGGCAACTGAATTGCCTAAAATTGCTCGTCCAGAAATTCAACAAAGTCTAATGCCTACAGTGGCTTCGAAACAGTTGCGTTATCGTAGGCAATTAACGACTGTAGTCTGTATATCGCGGCGAATTTCGTTATGCTGGATGACGGGCGTTACTGTGCGTGTTACTATTCCTGTTGAGGGTAATTAGTGAGCAACCCTCATATTGATCTGGTGAAGACCCTCTTCTGGCCACGTTGACCCTCTGCCATTGCATCCCTCTTATATGAGGGATAGGTCGAGCTGA